TACAGTGCTGATCTCAGATCCATGCATACAAAAATATTTTAAGCCCATAAGATTACATTCCCAGCTGTGTGTAGCCCTTCTCTCTCCTCAGGAAGGACTAAGATCTATTCAAAATATGCATGCTTCCTTCTTGACAGGAAGTCCTTTCTAGCTTTCTCAGTCATTCCTGGCTTCCAACACAAATATTAGGTCCATTACCCAGATCCTGCAAAGCTTAACTCCTAAAATATTGAGGACCATAAATTCCTTTTTAAGAAAGCAAGACATGATTCTTATCATCTACAATATAATGTAATCTACATTGTACTAAGGCACAGAAAGAGTTTCCAAAGTTTGTCTGTTAGACTCTTTGAAAGGAATAGAAAAGTAGATCTTCTTGTGGTCCAGCAGCTTCTTAGTTTCTGGCACAATTGCATGAAACTGTTGCTTCTTCTGATGTTTTTTTATTTAAATGTACGTACAAAAATACATACAGAGAAGTGGTGGGTTGCAGGCGGTACGCCCCGGTACGGGCGTACTAGTGCGTGCTGGGAGTACTGGGTACCGTTCCGGTATGGTGCTCCGGAGGGCCCGCCCGCCCTCGTTCCTTACCTATTTTTGAAGGAAACAGGCCATCTGCACATGCACAGACAATGTATGGCGCCTGTGCAATGCTCCGCCGAGCAGCTGGAGCATTGCGGAGGTGTCACAGAGCATCGCAGGAGGTAAGGACGCATGCGTGTGCTGTGCAGGTTCATGTGGTGTCCGCCGGGGCCCGTTGCACCATACTGGTTGCACCGGGATCCAGAACCCACCACTGATACACAGGCACACACTCTTATAAGGGATCACCATGGCAAAGTCTTTACTTCACCTGCAAAAGAACTGCAATTCAACCCTCAGTGTCCTTAGTCATTTCTTTCCTTGAATAGAATCTATAGAAGCTTCTTTAATTCTGTATGAATTAAATATGCTGAACCCAACGATCATTATACTCCATTTTACAGAACTACGATCCATGCGCTAACTTCCTGATTTTTTTTTTCATTTTTTCCCCCTGACTGCTTCCTGCAGTCAATGCTTACGGTTTGCGTAGGATGGTGGTGAGCAATGCAGTTGGGCCCAGCTGGGTCAGCAATGCCAACGCCTCCAGTAGGTCCTCTCCATCCCTGTCTTCAGCACTTGGTTCCAAGGCCACGAATCGGAAGAACTGAGCATCTCGATCTTGAAAGTAGCTCTCCTGTCGTACTGCGTGGACAAAGGAAGGTGATACCAGGGCATAAAGGAGGAAATAAGGAGGATCAAGTCAAAAAGGGTTTCATTCCACCACTAAGATTGCAAGGAAGATATTCCACCATATCACCATCTCATTCACCTCTTACTAAAGGTAATGAAGTGTTCTGGATTTACAAAAGAAAAAAAATCATTTGGAAAAAAAATCATTTGCCCAGGAAAAGAATTAAGACTCAGCCACACAGCCTCCTTATTCTAGCATGAACAACTCCATTTATCCAGTGGCTTCATCTCACAGATCACCCACTCCTCTCACAGGCTGCAACTAGTCCAAGCTCTTCCAGTTTATCAATAGACTTTGCTGTAGTAACCAAGGCATGTATGATAGGGAGCAGAAGCCCCCATTCCAGGAAAGAGCATAAATGGTACATAAAATAAATTTGTCCAAAGGTCTCCACCTACTTCTCAAGCAATAGCTGCAAGTCCAGAGGAACCCCCCAAATTGTGAACCAGCTGTGTGTAGGGAAGTCTACTTCATTGAGAGTCAGAAATGAGACCTCACCAGATCAAAGAGCGTGAAAAACTCAAAGCCATTCCATCTTGCTAGGAAAAAATTATCCCTCACATCATACACCACCACCAATATGGTCACAGCCTCCAAGCCCTGAAACAACATCTGTACAGATGGAAAGTAACTCTATATCTGAGTATCACCAGCATACTACCTTGTCTGTGTCATATAATACATGTGGGTATATGCATAATTTTGTATGTATTTATTTAGTCATGTTTGTGCAGTGTATATTGGAGGTGGTGACTCTTTGAGAGCCTTATGCAATGAAATTTCATTTTAATGTATGAAGATTAGTGTACATTCAAAGTGACAATAAAGTTATTCTAAGCCTCTATGCCATTGAACAACCACATTTAGCAGTTTCATATAAATATTAAAAAGGAGCAGTGAGAAACTTGAACTCTGAGATCACAAATATGGGAGGGCCTAGGGTTAGACTTCTCTGCCACCACGACCAATACTAACTGGAACCCCAAAGTATTTCCAGAAGGACACAGTCAATGGTATCAAGGCTATCAAGATAATTAAAAGGAGATTTACCACTCCATCCTGGGCTTCCAGAAGTCACATCAGCCAGTGTGACCAATGCCATTTCAGTACCATAATCCAGCCTGAACCCTAACTGAAGAATCCAGATAATCCATTTAATCCTGGGCCTGCCAATCTTCCTTGAAAAGGGAAGGTTGCAGCATTCACAAAAGTTGTCCAAATGATTGGGTCCAAGGATGGCCTCTTAAGAAGGTGCAAATTACTGTTTCCCTCAAGCAGGTGGAACACCTCCTTCCAGAAAAGAGGCATTAATCAAGACTTGGATCCAGAAGGTGGGTCCAATACACAGATAACAAATACATGGCATGAAGTATAAAAAGCTACAAATAGGGCCAAATTAACAACCCTTCTGCTGGGTTTTCTGGCAATGCAAGCGAACTCTTTCCAAATCAATCAAGACCAAAAAAAAAAAAAAAAAGTTATCATACACAGTGAGATCTCTATAAATAGAACTGTCTTTTCCCAGGCTACCCCAGGCTACAAAAAACCAATTTCTGATTTTAAAATAACCTGGGTTGTTTTCTTAGACACTGGGAACACTACTGGCTTTGTTACAGCACTACAATGAAAGGAAGGCTGTGGGAGGGACTTCCAGGAGAGGGATGGTGAGCTAAATATGTCTCCCGGAGACTAGAGAAGATTACATAACACAAAGATTAACACAAAAAAGACTGAAGCACCAAAGACTAGACCAGGTTTTTCCCCCCAAATCTCTCTAGATGAGGAGAGGATGGGAGATCACCCACATGTGCTCCAGACAACTGCATATNGCCTTGTTGACAAGAGGAATTGATGCAATTATTGTTTAATGCTGTATGGTGTTGGCTATGTACAGTATACATGTGAAAAAAAAAAGAATTTCCATTCCCCCACCTAAATTCTAAGGACAGGATGTGACCTTTTAGGACATAATAGGATTAACCCACCACCATTGAAATAGCAAAAGACACAAGCCCCTTCATTGCACAATCCCCAGAAAAGTTCAAACTTCAAAGTCACTGAAACCTTTAAAGATCTATCCACTCATTCAACCATTTTTTCAACTGTCCCAGAACTGCATGCTGTGGTTCTGCCCATCAATAAGTGGACCTTCTTTCCTAAGCAGCCAGCCTCCATTTTATTTCCAGCACCTCTCTCCCGTCTTGGAACTGAACCAGATGGATTTTGTTCCTACACTGCTTAGTTTCAAAAGTATTTCTTTTTAACTGGAAGGCAGAGAGTGGCAGGCATTTATTTTAAAGGATCAGTTGTAATTCAATAGATTTCATCCTGAATACATATGGATAAAATAGGGTGCTACTTTAATTGCAGTTCTAAACAGGTTAGAAAATCATTGTATACAATGCATATATAGAATTTGTAAAAATATGGATAACACTGGTCTACAAATTTTGGGAAATTATTGACTTCTGAGATAAAATGTGTTAATTTAACATATTTTGATTAGATGAATTAGAAAACAGGTTATAAAGGTGCTGGTTGGCTAAAGTTTTCAAGATATTTCACAATAAAGATTTATACACAGGTGAGTATATTTGCCTACAAGGGAGGGAGGTGTCTAATGATCATGATGCCTCCTAACTTCTCAACAAAGTAAGGTAGAACAGTGAAAATGGTACCACATGGAAGTGTATAAATTTATCTTCACTTTGAGAACAAGGCAGATGACCATAAAAAACACATGGAAAATTTGCTTAGGTCCTATAAAGCACTTGGTGCAAACATGTCACTGAAAATTCACTTCTTACATTCGCATTTTGACTATTTCCCTTTGAACTGTGGGGCAGTGAGTGATGATCATTGGGAGAGATTCCACCAGGATATCACAGGAATGGAGAAAAGATACCAAGGGAAATGGAGTCCATCCATGCTTGTCAATTACTGCTGGCATCTCCCCAAGGATGATCCTACTGCAGTTCACAATAAAAAAGCCAAAAAGCACAGTTTAGATACAGAATAAAGATGGAACCTTGTTGTTTAATGTTGGAGCTTGTCAGTTTTTCATACAAAAAGCATGAAAATGTTACATGAAAAACCAATAAGTGAATGGAAAGTTATTGGTATCAATAAAAAGATACATTTATAATGATTGGTGTGGCACCATTCTCATTGCTATATCACATTTTGCAGAAAAGTTATGGAGCATAATCGCACAACCCCTTGTAATTTTGAATTATTTTGATGCAATTTTGACCTGAAGCTGTATCTTGGAAACTGGAGCCAATTAATACTCAGGACTTAATTTTCCTTTATTAGTGACCCAATGCTGGTAAAATTAAGCTACTTTAATTTCCGAGGCTTTCTCCTTGTAGACCAGTGTAATAGACTCCAAGCAGTGTACAAAACTGGAAAATTCCTATAAACAGATAACACATCAAACCAAACCAAACAGCCCAGAGTAAAAAAAATCTTATGAACAACACACATCAAAGAACATGCGGGCTCTAAAGTAACAATAATACATTAACCCCAGACCTGGGACCAAAGCCCGATTTTACTAAGGATTTATAAAGCAGTACTAATACTTCACGTGATTTTGATTTTCTCCACATTAAATTTCTTGTTGTTGGATAGGGCTCATTGTTCAAGTCTGTCAAGATCTTTTTGGATCCTGAGCTTGTCTTCTGGGGTGTTGGCTATTCCTGCCAGTTTAGTGTCATCTGCAAATTTGAGTCTAAGTATACCATGTCCAAAGCATTTAGCTGGTCTACTAATTTAGTCAATTTGTCAAAGAACGAAATAAGATTAGTTTGGCATGATCCGTTTTTAACAAAACTGTTTGCGGCTCTTTGAGCCCTCTGCTGTGGCTCCCTGACCCATCACTGGTGTGAGATAAAAACTCAATTATTAAATCCTCACAACACAGAGATAAGTCGTTCACAATTCAAAAAGGTTTATTTACAGAAAAATAAAAAGCATTTGCAAGTCTCCAAGTCTCTTCCCAAGTGGATCGAGTACAAGGAGAGCAAAAAATAGCATTCAAACAATACATTTTATAGACTCTACTCCTAAGAAACTCTCCCCGACCTGCTCATTCATTTAAATCATTTATTTCGTCATTCCATACTCTAAAGGGTCAACTTGACAATTTCTTGAAAGGCCCCTATCTCTTATTCGGTTTTTTTTCTGGTGCCTTTCATCTGAGCAGATGGCTTCCTGTTCTGACCCCCCCTCTTTGCTCGTTCAGAAACGACAGCCACACACACAACTTGCAAAAGGAATGTCTTTATCAGTCCCGGCTCAAGCTGGCTGCAAGCNTAGAGAAAAGGAAGAAAAAGATAGATTGCGCAGCTGTTAGGGTGCGAGTCCAGGCAGAGCCAAATGGCTCTCAGTAATCAAGATGGTTAGAATGGTTACGATAATTAGCATCCAGTTATGGTCCAGAGAAGGTATTTGAGGCACTATGAAATAGAATTCCATAAATTTATTTAATATATTTGTAAGTAAGCCTATATGCTGGCATCTAGAACTATCTCATGAAATAAGAATACAGGAACTTTAGAAAAAAAATTAAGATTTCTGGATAAACAAATGTATCTTGACTTCATCTGCTACTACATATTTTTGGGATGCAAACTGCCACATACATAGTTTCTACCAGCTTAATTTATTAATGGCACTTTTCAGCATGTCAAGTTTTTTATTTAAATTTAAACAGGATTCTTCAATTCTTTTCAAGAATTGTGCTGCTCCTGTGCTACATGAAAGGTCAATTTAAATCAGGAAAGACATCCTAGTAATATTTGCCATTCAAAGCAACAAGCTAAGCTTGCCCCATTCTGCCCTGTCCTGTGCCATATTAGGAAGAGTGAGCAATGATTATTTTCCTGACACTTGGTGGGAGAGGAAATGAAACTGGAAAAACTGCTTCTTTTAAAACTTCACCTAAGTA